CCCCAATACATACAGGAAGTGAAATGAAGGGAAACCATGACGCCATCAATTCTACCATAACACTGAAGAAATTCCAAATCAAAACATGAGGTTGAAGAAATTCCAAATAAAAACATGAGATAGCTGATCTAGGGATAATGCCGTGAAGATCTAGGGTAGAAGAGGCCTTCAGCAACCCGTAATAGTCGACTATGCTTGTCGTAAAAGGCGACTATGCTTGTCGTAATAGGCGACTATGCTTGTCGTAAAAGGCGACTATGCTTGTCGTAATAGGCGACTATGCTTGTCGTAAAAGGCGGCTATGCTTGTCGTAAAAGGCGACTATGCTTGTCGTAATAGGGGACTATGCTTGTCGTAAAAGGCGACTATGCTTGTCGTAAAAGGCGACTATGCTTGTCGTAAAAGGCGGCTATGCTTGTCGTAAAAGGCGACTATGCTTGTCGTAATAGGCGACTATGCTTGTCGTAAAAGGCGGCTATGCTTGTCGTAAAAGGCGGCTATGCTTGTCGTTAAAGGCGGCTATGCTTGTCGTAAAAGGCGACTATGCTTGTCGTAAAAGGCGGCTATGCTTGTCGTAAAAGGCGACTATGCTTGTCGTAAAAGGCGGCTATGCTTGTCGTAAAAGGCGACTATGCTTGTCGTAAAAGGCGACTATGCTTGTCGTAAAAGGCGGCTATGCTTGTCGTAAAAGGCGACTATGCTTGTCGTAAAAGGCGGCTATGCTTGTCGTAAAAGGCGGCTATGCTTGTCGTAAAAGCGTAAGAGGCGGCTAACGGGATCGGGTGGTTATTGCTCCTTCTGTTCATCTGGTTGTTACTTTCTTGTCAGAAACGGTTCTTTGTTGTTGTTGTTGTTTGTTGTTGTTGTTTAATGCCACAATCAACAATTATTAGGTGGCGGGCTCGCTGACTTGGTTGATGTATGTCATCGTATCCCAGTTGCGTGGTTGCTGTAAAAGGCGACTATGCTTGTCGTAAGAGGCGACTAACGGGATCGGGTGGTCAGGCTCGCTGACTTGGTTGATGCATGTCATCGTATCCCATTTGCGTGGATCGATGCTCATGATGTCAATCACTGGATTGTCTGGCCCAGACGCGATTATTCCATGTAGCTGGACTATTGCTGAGCGCGGCGTTAAACAACAAACAAACATGAAAGAATTGTATGGGAGACGTAGGCCTATGCAGACTAATTAAAAAAGTTACTGTAGGTTAATTTGACTTTGGCAGTTGTTACATGCGGGTATCGATCGAGGGAAAGTAAAAAAAAGAGAAGCATTGTTTGAAAACAGAACTCATCAATCAAAATGCACAGGAAAGGCGCCCGGCTTGCTTCATTAATAAATGAGGAGATGGAAAATCAAACAAAAGATCAAATCGATGAAAGTAAACTAAGCGGCAAAAGAAAGTATAGGTTGGCAGTTTGTAAGTTTCCAGCGATAACTGGTGGAAAATGGGTATTCGGAATATGACTGTCCAGGAACAGGTTCCAAAAAACACCTCACCCGAACGCGCCACCATTGACGGCGCTTGTGCGGTGACAAAAAAATGGTGAAACAGGTTTCCCGCCTATGGCATATACAGCACGCGCGCGTTAGCCGTATAAATGCGTTCGTCTGCAGGGTATAACAACACGTGATGAAAGCTCACAAAAGAAATGCCACGACTGCCACAGGAGCAGAGAGAGAGAGCCATCGGTATGGCCGACATGGGGGCAACATAGGTCCAAATTGCCAGAAGGTTTGACCATTGACAGTAGCCAGGCTGATTCAACGGTACAGGCAGACAGGGGGGACACAGGAGCGGCCTAGAACCGGACGACCCCGAGCCACAACACCACTGGAAGACGGTCAGATGCGGCTCATCCACCTGCGAAACAGATCCGTAACGGCGACGGCGACGGCAGCAACAGCGTTGGGACATCCCTTTAGCCAACGTACAGTACTACGACGATTTCGTGCTGCTGGAATCCGAGCGTATCGTCCTTTCCGAGGAATGGTACTGACTGCTCAACATCGACGCCTGAGACTGCGATGGGCGAGGCAGGTTCTACGCTGGCAAGTGAGAAATTGGCGTCGAGTGCTGTTTACTGATGAAAGTCGGTTTAACTTGTTTCGAAATGACGGCAGAGAACGAGTTTATCGACGCAGAGGGGAACGTTTGGCTCTGGTGTGTATTCGAGAGATCCATCCATTCGGCGGGTGAGGTGTCATGGTGTGGGGCGGTATTTGTGGAGATCAGAAGACGATTTGGTGATTATACAGGGAAACCTGAACGCTGTTCAGTACAGAGACCAAGTGTTGCAGCCAGTTGTGCTTCCGTTCTTACAAAACCAACAGCAGGGGACATTGTTTCAACACGACAATGCCAGGCCCCATACTGCAAGACTGACTCAGATCTTTCTAAACCAGCAGAACGTTGACGTTTCGCCCTGGCCTGCCCACTCACCCGATATGAATCCTATTGAACATCTGTGGGACTATCTTGACAGACAGATTAGAGCACGGCATTAGCCTCCCGTCAACAGACAAGATTTGCAGCAGGCCCTGAGAGACGAGTGGCAACGGATTCCAGTCCACATTATCCGAAGACTGGCGTCAACGATGAGGCAGCTGGAGGTCATACACGCTACTGAAGGCAACTGTGTCGACAATGAACTTGTAGTGTGTCTGACAATGTTTTGGTGATATTTCAGACAACTTTTGAAAATGAAATTTCTTACCCAACCATTGTTTACCTTGAACGTACATTACCTGTTATTGCACAATTTCATTCAAACTGTGGTTGATCAATCATTTGTTACCCCTCCCTAGATTATATTATAATTCACAACAAAACCTCTTCTTGTTATTTTTTTTATCGATCATGGAACTCGACCTATACTTTCTTTTGCCGCCCAGTTTAGTTCCCAGTCGTTGTACCGGCATTCTTTGAGTTCGGTAGTAGTCCTTGAAGTATGAGGTGTCGCAATTTCCTCTGGGCTAATTATAAAGAATTTCCAAAGGATATTTTATTCGAAATGGAAATCAATTTTCAACAGGGCAATTGGTTGGAATGTTACCATAATGAATCTTTAGAATACTATACTTTAGAACCCCGTAATGATCAAGGTATTTGCATCATTCATAAAAACTAATTTAATGTTTCTTAAATTCAAATTGTGTTCGCTGATAAGCTGCCAAGCCAAAGCGTCCAATAGGCGAGCTGTCAAGCCACTACACATACGCAGACGCGTAGATAATTAGTGTGTGAGTTTGTTTTCACGCCGCTTTGAACAGTATTTCCGTTATATCATTATACATGGCGTATCAGCTCAATGTGGATGGAAAACACGAGGTGATGGAGGAATCAGACGTTGAACTATTTGATGAAACCCACGAGCATGGTGCTGGAACTAGAAACAATCCAGGGATTCAAACCCACGATCAACCTACGGTTTCTGGCACCCGTGAAGATCCGGGGTAGAATAGGTCTTCAGAAACTCAAGCTTGCCGTAAAAGGCCACTATGCTTGTCGTAAGAGGCGACTAACGATCGAGATCGTGTAGTCAGGCTCGCTGACTTGGTTTATGCATGTCATCGTATCCCAATTCGCTTGGATCGATGCTCATGACGTCAATCACTAGGCTGCATGGTTTAAACTCGATTATTTTCAGACCGCCGTCATATAGCTGGAATATTGCTGAGTACGGCGTTCAACAACAAACAAACAAATCATCAGACTTAGATCGTTAAGAAAATTAGATTCAGTGTTGTATTTCTCCGTGAATTGTACAAATGATAGAAAATGTCCTGTAACATCAATAAAATAATTAAATATATCACGCCGTCAGGGGTGCAGATAATATAACAGACTTGTGTATATTGTCTGTTGGGAACAGCGATCCACGCCGTCAGGGGTGCAGATAATATAACAGACTTGTGTATATTGTCTGTTGGGAACAGCGATCCACGCAATCAGGGGTGCAGATAATATAACAGACTTGTGTATATTGTCTGCTGGGAACAGCGATCCACGCCGTCAGGGGTGCAGATAATATAACAGACTTGTGTGTATTGTCTATTGGGAACAGCGATCCACGCCGTCAGGGGTGCAGATAACATAACAGACTTGTGTATATTGTCTATTGGGAACAGCGATCCACGCAATCAGGGGTGCAGATAGTATAACAGACTTGTGTATATTGTCTATTGGGAACAGCGATCCACGCAATCAGGGGTGCAGATAATATAACAGACTTGTGTATATTGTCTATATGGAACAGCGATCCTAGCTGTAATGGGTGCAGATAACATATAAGACTTGTGTATATTGTTTATTGGGAACAGCGATCCACGCCGTCAGGGGTGCAGATAATATAACAGACTTGTGTATATTGTCTATTGGGAACAGCGATCCACGCAATCAGGGGTGCGGATAATATAACAGACTTGTGTATATTGTCATGTATTGGGAACAGATTCGGGGTAGAATAGGTCGCCAGCAACCCATGCTTGCCGTAAAAGGCGACTAACGGGATCGGGTGGTCAGGCTCGCTGACTTGGTTAAATCATGTCATCGATCCCAAGTGCTTGGATCGATGTTCATGATGTAAATTACTGTATTGTCTGGTCCAGACTCGATTATTTACAGACCGCGGTCATATAACTGGCATATTGCTGAGTGTGGCGTTAAACAACAAACAAACAAACAAACTATTGGGAACAGTAATCCACGCCGTCAGGGAACAGTGGCAAGCACTCAACTAAGCCTGACCACCCGATCCATTTGGTCGTCTCTTACCACTGGCACAGGCTGCTGGGGACCAACTGTAATCCCAGCACTCAGGCTTGGTGACTTGATTGATTGCTTGTGGGACTTTTACCATAGTGACAACCACTGCTTTTTCTAGGCCTGACTAGATTATTTACACGCCGCAGTGATATAGCTCGAATACTGTTGACTGTGTACAACAACAACAACAAACACTGTTTTGTAATGTTATGTCATTTCTATTTCCAGTCTTCTTTCCCGCTGCCTTGTCAAAGACTTGCACTGTTTGCAAGACAGAGTATGGCGCAGCTAAGACTACGGCAGGAACTGACAACGGTCAAAAGTGCACGTGAGTGAATTGGTTTGACTCAAGCGTGTTTTCCCAACAGCAAGCATAACCTATTATGTTTGTTGCATGTTTCAAGACATGACCAGGACCTTATTGCTATGTTGTCCCAGGGGCGCAACTTGGCTAATTTTAACTGTAAGCAAAACTAAACATACGAATGCCCGCTAGGGGTTTGGCGATGGGCGTGATGTCCCCCTAGAAATGTTTTTAAAATAGATGCTCTAAAACGCTATTTCCTGCATTTTGGCCCGTTTATGTTAGGTTTTTTTTTAACAAATACTGGTTTTTGTTTGTTTGTTATTTAACGCCGCACTCAGTAATATTCCAGCTGTACGACAGCGCTCTGTAAATAATCCAGACAAGACAATGCAGTGATGCAGTGATTAATACAAACAATCGTTCTGATCAAGAATATGTATTTCTTGTATTGTGGACTTAAGTTGGGAATTATATTGATCCCTCTGAGGACACGGTAGCTAATGTTACCTCAATATTGATATCTGATACTCGGAACCTGGGATGTTTTTCTGAGGCTTTGCATTGAATCGAGGCTTTGCACTGTATCGAGGCTTTGCACTGAATCGAGGCTTGGTTTCATTTTACGCATGATATGTCTCATTGGTCAAAGTCAGGCAGTACACTAATGTTATTTAAAACAACACCAATTATCTAATTTAAGAGGATCTTGACAAAACTTTAGACACGTGTGACCTGACAACTGAAAATATGATGTTCACGATGTCAATCACTGGATTGTCTGGTCCAGACTCGATTATTTACAGACCGCCGTCATAACCGGAATATTGCTGAGTGCGGCGTAAAACTACAAACCAACCAACCAACTGAAATGATAAATTCATAAAATGAAACCAATCCGTTAAATCAGGAATAACATGAATAAAACGACCATATACAATACAGATTTTAATTAAACGAAACTTTAATTCGATTGAAACCAACAGAATGATAACGTAAGGAGTAATCCTGATCTGTATCTTTAGCCCCGTGAAGATCCGGGGTAGAATAGGTCCTTAACAACCCATGCTTGCCGTAAAAGGCGACTATGCTTTTCGTAAGAGGCGACTAACGGGATTGGGTGGTCAGACTCGCTGACTTGGTTGATGCATGCGATTGATCCCAATTGCGTGGATCGATCCTCGTGACATCTGAATTGTCTGGTCCAGACACGATTATTTTCAGACCGCCGTCATATAGCTGGAATACTGATAAGTGTGGCGTTAAACAAACAAATAAACAAACAAACATTTGATTGGTTCCACCGTACCTTCATTGAGTTTTTTTAACTCATATCTGGGTTAAGAACCAGTTGTTGCTTCTTCTTTTTTAGTGCCCTCGGCAGCTACCTGACTTGTCTCGAGACCTCTGCTAAAGGTGAAGCTGAGTGTCCTCTACCAAGTGCTGACGCAGGCGCCATCGAGACTGATTACACAGCCGCCACTTGCTGTAAGTTCACGTAGGAACATATTTTAATCATCTGTGTTTGTTTGTTTAGTTTGCTGAATACCAATTCTAAGACGGATCTTCACAGGTGTGACTGATATGTCTTTCAGCGGGACTGGGTTGTCTGGTCCAGACTCGATTATTTACAGACCGACGTCATATAGCTGGAATATTGCTGAGTGCGGCGTTAAACAACCAACCAACCAAATCTTTCATCGGGAACAGTTGATAAATAAACAATACTGTTTCGTATCAACCAACACGGGCGGTGGGGTGGCCTAATGGTTAAAACAACAGATTGTGTCCGATTCCACATGGGTATTTTGACGTAAAGTCGACTATGCTTGTCGTAAGAGGCGAAAATCAGGCTGGCTGACTTGGTTGATGCATGTCATCGTTCCCACAACAAACAAAACAAAAAAATCGATATGAATCGATGACATTTTTCTGTTGCAGCGAGCTCGTTCACCGACACCTGTATCTGTCAGAAGACCTTCTGGAAAACTGTCCAAGCAGATGACGCTGCTACCTGCACGTGCCTATACCGAATATTCAGTCACATCAGAACGAAGGTGAAGATGAGCGGCCATAACACAACCTCTCAGTATCGATTTCATCCATTGAAAAGTTGTCAAATTTACATTCTCATACATAAATAAATGATATTTTACCTCTTTCTTGACGATAAGAAATTCTGTGTCAAGTAACGCTTATTTCACGTAAGTCAATGCCTTCTTTAAATTATGCAAATCTTGGATTTAGTCTTGTGTCCGACATACTTTTTATTTTCTTCATTGACAGATTGAGTTGTTTAACGCCGCACTCAGCAATATTCCAGCTATATGACGGCGGTCTGTAAATAATCGAGTCTGGACCAGACAATCCAGTGATTGATATCATGAGCATCGATCCACGCAATTGGGATCGATGACATGCATCAACCAAGTCAGCGAGCCTGACCACCCGATCCCGTTAGTCGCCTTTTACGACAAACATAGTCACCTTTTACGGCGAGAATGGGTTGCTGAAGACCTATTCTACCCCGGAATCTTCACGGGTCTCCAGTCTATGAAGCAATACTGTCGACAATAGGGCAGTCAGAAGCTGCAGGAACTTGAGCAACCCATGCTTGTCGTAAAAGGCAATTGTGCTTGTCGTAAGAGGCGACTAACGGGATCGGGTGGTCGGGTTCGTTGACTTGGTTGATGCATGTCATCGTATCCCAAGTGCGTAGACCGATGCTCATGATATCAACCACTGGACTGTCTGGTCCGGACTCGATTATTTGCAGACCGCGGTGATATAGCTGGAATATTGCTGAGTGCGGCGTTAAACAACAAACAAACACATAAAGAAACCTCGATCTCCTCGCGTTGCGTACACGTTGCTGTAGTTTAGTGAGTTGGTTTGGTTTAAGGTCGCTTAAATTATTTTAGTTGTGGCATGAAAAATAATAGCTCGGGTGAACCGCCAATGAGAAACAGGACGTAGACATTTGGTGAAATCCACCAACACCACTAACAGCGGATACTGACACGGCTAAGTAACACATCTAAGAAACAACAAATTGTGTCGTAAGACCACTGAGACACCAGTGTCATCTATTGTACTTGACTCTTGTGACCCGTGAAGATTCCGGAGTAGAATAGGTCTTTAGCAACCCATTCTTGCCGTAAAAGGTGACTATGCTTGTCGTAAAAGGCGACTAACGGGATTGGTTGATGCCTGTCATCGATCCCAATTGCGTGGATCGATGCTCATGACATTAATCACTGGATTGTCTGGTCCAGACTCGATTATTTACAGACCGCCGTCATATAGCTGGAATATTGCTGAGTGCGGCGTTAAACAACAAGCCAACCAACCAATTGCAACTTGACTCTTGTCCACAGGGCAGCCAAGGTGTACCTGACTTGTCTGAAGGGGAAGACCGCAACGGCTTGTGACGGCACTTCCTCTGTTGCTACTCTGACTGCTGGTGTGGAGACAAGGATGAAGGCTCTCACTGGATGCAGTATGTACATTTATTGTATACTCCCCATGGATCAGAGAATCAAATTTGAAAGCGCACTGACTACTTGAAGATCCGGGGTAGAATAGATCTTCAGCAACCCATGCTTGCCGTAAAAAAGGACTATGCTTGTCGTAAGAGGCGACTAATGGGACCGAGTGATCAGGCTCGCTGACTTGGTTGATGCATGTCACCGTATCCCAATTGCGTGTACGATGCTCATGATGTCAATCACTGGATTGTGTGGCCCAGACTCGATTATTTACAGACCACCGACATACAGCTGGAATATTGCTGAGTGCGGTGTTAAACAACAAACACACAAACCAATTAAATGAAAGCACACTGAGGGATGGATGGTCTGTTATAATTTTGATCTTAATAGTGAGTGAGTGAGTGAGATGGGTTTAACGCCACTTTTAACAGTATTCCAGTTGTATCGCGGCGTGTCAGCTTAATGTGGGAGGAAAGCCCGAAGTGATGCAGGTCTCAGACGTTTACCACTTCGGTGAAACCCACGAGCACGGGTAATGTACTGAAATAACCTAGAAACACAATCGGGGCGAACCGGGATTCGAACCCACAATCATAGGTTTCTGGCGTGCCCAAGGGGCGCAACTCTGCACAGAGAATCGCGGCGCCTTAGACGACTGGGCCACCCGAGCCTCCTTATGTGTAATAATTCATTTGAAAATAAAAATGCTAACTTAATGAAAACGATTGAAAACTTCCACAAAGCCTCCATCAATGTGTATCGACCTGTGTGGATCGTGTCAAAATACATTAAACCAGTCGCACTCTCAAATCCTTACGTATCATCACAAGTCATTTCCCCAGTTCCTGTCTCATACGAGCAGTCAAGCGCTGTACCGTTCGAGTCATGTAATATTATTTTCGACCTTAATCATACTCCATTCACACTCGACAACAAACGTACTCCATTCACACTCGACCTCAATCATACTCCATTCACACGCGACCCGTGAAGATCCGGGGTAGATGAGGTCTTCAGCAACCCGTGCTTGCCGTAAAAGGCGACTAACGGGATTGGGTGGTCAGGCTCGCTAACTTGGTTGACGCACATCATCGTATCCCAATTGCGAGGATCAATCATCATGATGTCAATCACTGGATTGTCTGGTCCAGATTCGGTTATTTACAGACCGCCGTTATATAGCTGGAATATTGCTGAGCGCGGCGTTTAACAACAAACAAACCAACAAAATCGGGTTCCTCAACAAACTGGAAAAAAAGTGAAATCATGTAAACTATAATGATTTACACTTAACTCACTCGCACGGTGTATATTTCAGCTATCAGCCCACCCTGCCAGTGTCAGATTAATGCCATGAAAGCGGACATGTCGACCGACGGCATGAAATGCACGTGTGTATAATTGATACATCTGATTATTCTGATTACTTTGACAAGAACATCTCGGTTACTCCGAATATTCTTACAAGAACACGATTAAATTAAATATGTATTTTAGTGACCTGTTCATATGTGATTTTTTTGGGTAAAAAGTATTAAAATTAAATTAATTAAAATTAGACATTGCTAATGTAAAGAAATGAGGTTTATGGTAAAATGTTATTAGAGGACCCCTTGTTGGTCATTTCTTCATCACCCATAAATTTCAGTTTTTCTTTACTTACCATGTTTTGAAAATTTACACATGAGAATAATTTAATGTCTCTGATAAAAATAGCGACACAGCTTTATACTCCTAGGCAGCCAATTAGATTATGTCAAAAAAATAAACCACTGTACACCTTGTAATGGGAGTATAATAAATAAAAATACATTTCTTATTTTGTCATATGTCAAGTTTATCATCCCAAGAAGTGCTAAATAATTATCATTAAAATTAAGCTAGCTATGCATATTGGGGCTCTTTATCTGCTATGATAATATAACAATTGCATTATTAAAGACGTGTTTTTTTCAGTAATCATGGTAAATAATAAATCTTTGGTTTAAAGAATATATTTGAGACAAACATAATTCTACATGTCTTAATGCTCTGTATTGTCTGTTAATTCTGAAAATAATTAACTGATATATTGAGTTTCTACCTAAAACTAATAATATGAAATTATTTTTGAGATTATTTCATCCTATCTAAAATACAAAATATATTTTAAGATGCATAAATGTACATCATTGTTGAAATAAAATATTGTTTTTGAAAAAAATACCTAATAAGGATGATTGGTGCCCACCATCTTTATCTTCATCATTTTGTCTGCTCCCTATAAGAAATCAAAATAGTTAAGAACAAATATAAATACATATATTACTTTCTTGAGTTTATATAGATTGAGGTATGACTTAATACATTCAAGTTTAAACGGGGTAATGTTTTTGCATAATGAGTTTCTTAATTGTCGTGAGATAGTATGTTTAAATTTGAAATTTAAGTCTCGATTATTTTAATATTACTTTTCAAATATGTTTTTGATCGATCGGCTCTAGATCAACACTGCGTTATAACGTGACATTTCGTATGTGGTTGATAGTTTGTTTGTTTTTTAAAATACCAAACAATATGGTCTGTTTCACTATTTCTTCGGTATTTTTACATGAATTAATTAACTTTCATTAACTTTGTTATTAGCCTTGAAAACGCCCAGTACAATGTGTACCGGAGTTGCTCACCTGGTCCCGTAATATCGACGCGGTATCTCGCTTCGGTTACCGTCCTCTCATTTTGCAACTGAATCTGGTACATTGGGAAGCCGGAATTCTCTGATATATCTCCACATATCACACTGTAATGTTTTGCCAACTGGAGATTTCCTGTACTAGACGACCTCGGGTATCCCCAATCCGAAAATAGTGCCGTCAATTATTTTTAGCCAGCCAATCAAAACGCGATGACACCACTCTCCACTCTCAGCCAGCCAATCAGATTGGGTGAAAAAAATAAACAACTGCGACTAAACCACTGCTGGCGATTGAAGATCAAGCCCTGTTATGGGAGAAACATGGTTATTGTTACTTGACAACAGCTTAATATATCCGATTAAATATACTATTCATCACATATTTACATTTTGCAGTGCCTACAAGGCACAGTTTAGCTGCCTGTATGGACTGAGTACCGGTGACACGTGTGATACAGGGACGACTCTCGCCGCTCTGAAGGCTTCCGCTGCAGCTTCTGTCACTGGAGTAACTTCATGCAGTGAGTGTTGTTGATGCAGGGGCGTTGCTAAGCAATTCCCTAGCATTTCTATTCTTCTTCTGATGGTTATCTTCACTTATTCATTCAGTTTTGTTTGTTTGTTTGTATTTACAGCTATTTGGTGGTGGTCTAAATGATCGAGTCTGGATCAGACAATCCACTGATTGACATCATGATTGGTTGGTTGGTTGGTTGGTTGGTTTGTTGTTTAACGCGGCACTCAGCAATATTCCAGCTATATGACGGCGGTCTGTAAATAATCGAGTCTGGACCAGACAATCCAGTGATTGATATCATGAGCAACGATCCACGCAATTGGGATCGATGACATGCATCAACCAAGTGAGCGAGCCTGACCACCCGATCCCGTTAGTCGCCTTTTACGACAAGCATAGTCACCTTTTACGACAAGCATGGGTTGCTGAAGACCTATTCTACCCCGGAATCTTCACGGGTCCATCGATCAACATAATTGGAAACGATGACATGCATCAACAAAGTCGGCGAGCCTGACCACCCGATCCCGTTAGTCGCCTCTCACGACAAGCATGGGTTGCTGTAGACCTATTCTACTCCGGACATTCACGAGTCGATTGATTCGGTAGATACACTGACATCACCTAAAATAAAAGTTGACGTGTTTTTAAAAAGATTTACATTTATTTGAACAATAACTATTGATTTAAATATGCTTGTCGTAAGAGGCGATTAATGGGACCGAGTGATCAGGCTCGCTGATTTGGTTGATGCATGTCACCGTATCCCAATTGCGTGTACGATGCTCATGATGTCAATCACTGGATTTGGTGGCCAAGACTCGATTATTTACAGACCACCGACATACAGCTGGAATATTGCTGAGTGCGGTGTTAAACAACAAACAAACAAACCAATAAAATGAAAGCACACTGAAGGATGGATGGTCTGTTATAATTTTGATTGTAATAGTGAGTGAGTGAGATGGGTTTAACGCCCTTTTTAACAGTATTCCAGTTATATCGCGGCGTGTCAGCTTAATGTGGGAGGAAAGCCCGAAGTGATGCAGGTCTCAACCACTTCGGGGAAACCCACGAGCACGGGTATGGTGCTGACAAACCTAGAAACATAATCGGGGCGAACCGGGATTCGAACCCACAATCATAGGTTTCTGGCGTGCCCGAGGGACGCAACTCTGCACAGCTGAGCGCGGCGTTTAACAACAAACAAACCAACAAAATCGGGTTCCTCAACAAACTGGAAAAATAGTGAAATCATGTAAACTATAATGATTTACACTTAACTCACTCGCACGGTATACATTTCAGCTATCAACCCACCCTGCCAGTGTCAGATTACTGCCATGAAAGCGGACATGTCCACCGACGTCAAGAAATGCACGTATGTATAATTGATACTTAGGACTGATTATTCAGGTTACTCCGAGTATTCTTACAAGAACACGATTTTCTCAATTTTCTCAAATGCATCAATGGATTGTAATATTTTGGACGAATTGTCCTCTTTAAAACTAATTTTACAGTGAATAATTTAATATGTTAAACGATGATTATTTCATGTCATTTTGGGGGGGGGGGGGGGGGGGGGGGGGGGGGGGGTTCCTGAACATGGTGAGCACATGGGTTTTTATTAAATTTAATTAATTAAAAATTAACAAAACTTATTCAATGGACAATTTTTCTTTTGAACATAATATTTAACATCATGAAACCAAAACTGTTACTAAATGAGTCATATAATTTCCCCATATTTGTGAATGAGAAGAAACAATGTGAATTTGACAAGCACAATAATTTATTGTGTGTGAAACATAAATACATAGGATATATGTAAACAATAAATTATCATTTCAGTAGTTCTACAAATATTTGCATTTTAATACCCCTGTAATTTTACATTGGTATTTTACTGCAACAGTTACCTCCAAACTTTATTCTTTTGTTATTTTATCTGATTAGAAGTTAAGACTTACTGATAATAGGTAATTAAAAATTAACATTTTCTTTTTTTTATCTTCATGAAAACAAGACATAATAATAAATATGTATTTCAGTGACCTGTTTATATGTAATTTTGTTTTGTAAAAAGTATTAAAATTAAAATTAGACATTGCTAATGTAAAGAAATGAGGTTTATGGTAAAATGTTATAAGAGGACGCCTTGTTAGTCATTTCTTCATCACCCATAAATTTCAGTTTTTCTTTACTTACCATGTTTTGAAAATTTACACATGAGAATAATTTAATGTCTCTGATAAAAATAGCGACACAGCTTTATACTCCTAGGCAGCCAATTAGATTATGTCAAAAAAATAAATCACTGTACACCTTGTAATGGGAGTATAATAAATAAAAATACATTTCTTATTTTGTCATATGTCAAGTTTATCATCCCAAGAAGTGCTAAATAATTATCATTAAAATTAAGCTAGCTATGCATATTGGGGCTCTTTATCTGCTATGATAATATAACAATTGCATTATTAAAGAAGTGTTTTTTTAGTAAACATGGTAAATAATAAATCTTTGGTTTAAAGAATATACTTGAGACAAACATAATTCTACATGCCTTAATGCTCTGTATTGTCTGTTAATTCTGAAAATAATTAACTGATATATTGAGTTTCTACCTAAAACTAATAATATGAAATTATTTTTGAGATTATTTCATCCTATCTAAAATATAAAATATATTTTGAGATGCATAAATGTACATCAGCGTTGAAACAAAAATATTGTTTTTGAAAAAATACCTAATAAGGCTGATTGGTGCCCACCATCTTTATCTTCATCATTTTGTCTGCTCCCTAAGAAATCAAAATAGTTAAGAACAAATATAAATACATATATTACTTTCTTGAGTTTATATAGATTGAGGTATGACTTAATACATTCAAGTTTAAACGGGGTAATGTTTTTTTCATAATGAGTTTCTTAATTGTCCTGAGATAGTATGTTTAAGTATGAAATTTAAGCCTCGATTATTTTAATATTACCTAAAAATATGTTTTTGATCGATCGGCTCTAGATCAACACTTCGTTATAACGTGACATTTCGTATGTGGTTGATAGTTATTTAAAAAAAAAATACCAAACAATATGTTTGTTTCACTATTTCATCGGTATTTTTACATGAATTAATTAACTGTTTCATTAGCTTTGTTATTAGCCTTGGAAACGCCCAATACAAAATGTACCGGAGTTGCTCACCTGGTCCCGTAAAATCGATGCGGTATCTCGCTTCGGTTACCGTCTTCTCATTCTGCAACTGAATCTGGTACATGGGGAAGCCGGAATTCTCTGATATATCTCCACATATCACACCCCTTCTTCCCCTACAAATTTTTTCTCGGTCACCAACTTTCGGAGATGGAAACATCGTCACTACGGTAATGTTTTGCCAGCTGGGGATTTCCTGTACTGGACGACCTCGGGTATCCCCGATCCGAAAATAGTGCCGTCAATTATTTTTAGCCAGCCAATCAAAACGCGATGACACAACTCTCCACTCTCAGCCAGCCAATCAGATTGGGTAAAAAAAAATAAACCGCTGCAAATAAACCACTGCTGGCGATTAAAGATCAAGCCCTGTTATGGGAGAAACATGAATATTGTTACTTGACAATAGCTTAATATGTCCGATTAAATATACTATTCATCACATATTTACATGTTGCAGTGCCTACAAGGCACAATTTAGCTGCCTGTATGGACTGAGTGCCGGGGACACGTGTGATGCAGGGACGACTCTCGCCGCTCTGAAGACTTCCGCTGCAGCTTCTGTCACTGGAGTAACTTCATGCAGTGAGTATTGTTGATGCAGGGGCGTTGCTAGCATTTCTATTCTTCTTCTGATGGTTATCTTCACTTATTCATTCAGTTTTGTTTGTTTGTTTGTTTGTTTGTATTTACAGCTATTTGGTGGCGGTCTAAATAATCGAGTCTGGATCAGACAATCCAGTGATTGACATCATGAGCATCGATCCACATAATTGGGATGCGATGACATGCATCAACAAAGTCGGCGAGCCTGACCATCCGATCCCGTTAGTCGCCTCTCACGGCAAGCATGGGTTGCTGTAGACCTATTCTACCCCGGACATTCACGAGTCGATTGCTTCAGTAGATACCCTGACATCACCTAAAATAAAAGTTGACGTGTTTTTAGAAAGATTTACATTTATTTGAACAATAGATATTGATTTAAATTTGCATTTTTTTCTTTGAAGCTTTCGATGACACGTGTACATGCCAGAGAAGCTATGATGCTGCCGCCAAGAGTAATGATGCAGAAAAGTGCACGTATGTTATAATCGATATAATCTCACCACTCATAGAAGTACAGTAAAGTACGGTTATAACGAACTCAAAGGGACTACTAATTTCTGTTCGTTATAACCGTAGTTCGTTTTAAGCATATATACAGTATAACTACAGCAAATAGTCGGGACAAAAAAGTGAGTTCGTTTTATCCGTCAGTTCGTTATAAGCGTATTCGTTATAACCGTAGTTTACTGGATTATAAAACTAGTTTGGTTAACGTTATTTCAACAGATGCCCGTGCGCTTAGCTTTGATTGGACAAAAAAGGACAAACAACACATTCATAAAAAAATAGCTGTTGAGGGGAGGCCATTTAATATTTGGTGGGTTAGGTGCGGGGCAGGGATGTTTTTTGAAAAACATAATGAATTTCCGGAAAAAAAGTCATTTGTCCAAAATGTTCTTCACTGAACATTCTGGATGTTCTATAAATAGACACTTGCTATCCTTGACCTGACCACATCGTATGTATCTCGCTACCGCTTACCAAAGATCTGAGGACATTCCATTACGGGTCACGTCAGAACGACCTTTCATCAAACCAGTCAGAGCGTCGCTTTTTCTAACCATGCAACCTCGAAATATTTAACAGGGGGTATTCCGAACGACAGTCACGGGATTTATGATTATATCCATACAACCTAGACCAACTATAAGCCATTCCAGAATAATCTCTTGGTCAGTTTAAAAAGTTTTAATCGAGAATACGTCAAAATATGTTTCGAAGCGTAGTCTCCTGTTTGAAACTAGTGTCGTAAAGCTTTAGAAAGCTGCCTTCTGATTGGCTAATGTCGATTTCTTGTCAGTCATCTCATTGGTCGGTCAAAGTTCGCGAAAGGTCGTTCTGACGTGACCCGTAAAGAGATGTCCTCAGATCTTTGTTTAGCGGTAGCGAAAACTAAGATCTGATATTAATGAGATTGTGGATTGTCTGGTCAAGATGATGGATGTCTTCGCATACCAATTGCGTGTACCATGCTCATTATGTCAATCACTTGATTGTCTGGTCTAGACTCGATTATTTACAGTCCACCGTCATAAAGCTGGAATATTGCTGAGTACGGCATTAAACAACAAACAAACAACAAGCATAGCATTTATTCACCCGATGAAGGAGTAAGTACAGTATATATTCCGAAACGTTGTGTTCCTCATTATAAAGAAGTTAATATCCATAAAATCTCTTCCTCGTGTGTATCACTTCTAAATGCCATTCAAAGACTTATCATACTACTTTCGCTCAGATCGCGTAGCGTGCGTGAAGGTACGCATGTATCTGTGTATTGTACTTACATCTATGTTTGGTGCAGGGCGAGAAAGGCGGAACTGAACTGCCTCGGAACAGCAAAGACATCTACTGGCTGCGACGGATCAACTTCCAAAAGCGCTATTGCCACTGCATCCGAGACCGCACGCGCCGCACTAACCACTGCCTCAGCCACAGACTGTCCAGGTGAGTCAGCTTATATACATAGACACAATGAAAAATGTTAAGCAAATATGTTTGTCTTGGTCTTGGAAGCCTCAACCAACTCAGTGTCAGGCGTTACATGAACCCCAGGGTGCACTGCAATTATTTGTGCAGAGTTGTGGCCCTTTGGTGTGCCAGTAGTCCTGCACCATGACTATGGAATATATTTATTTTATGAAAAAAAATAATCTAGAAACGCATACAAAAGCAAGTCTAGCCAGCTCTAGCTACCTCTATTCCACAGAATAAGGATATTGTGTAATATAAGATTTCAGACACTAAATGTTAGTCTAGCGTGCAGGGAACGTGTTTTCGAATCCAAGATCCCAGTCTCAAACGGAAGTGCTGCTGAAAACAAGCATATTCGAGTTTGATGTGCTAAAACATGCATATTCGAGTTTGATGTGCTACAAACAAGAATATTCGAGTTTGATGTGCTCCAAACAAGCATATTCGAATTCGATGTGCTCAAAACAAGCATATTCGAGTTTGATGTACTGAAAAGCAGAATGTTCGAGTTTGATGTGCCTTAAAGCTTGCAAATTCGAGTTCAGTGTCCCTGAATACAAGTTTATTGGAGTTCGATATGCTAAAAACACATATTCGAGTTTGATGTGGTTTTATGTTTTAGCTCCATCAAGTACTTGCCAGTGTCAGATTACCGCGGCCAAGGAAGATAACAGCGACTCCACCAATTACTGCCGGTAAGCTCCGCTTCATAATATCGTAATCATGATTATGTTAAATTTAGAAGCTATTACTTTAGACATGTATATCTAAACGTGGTTTAAGGATTAGAACTAACTGACATTTCGTAGGTCAATTGAAGAACTATAAACTGTGGCAAATACACCTTCTGTTGTTTGTTTGTTGTTTAACGCCTCAGTCAGCATTATTCCAGCTATATGACGGCGGTCTGTAAATAATCGAGTCTGGACCAGACAATCCAGTTATTAATATCATGAGCATCGATCCACGCAATTGGGATCATTGATGGCATGCATCAATCAAGTCAGCGAGCCTGACCACCCGATCACGTTAGTCGCCTCTTACGGCAAGCATAGTCGCCTTTTACGGCAAGCATGGGTTGTTGAAGACCTATTCTACCCCGGATCTTCACGGGTCCCACGCAGTTGAGATCGATGACATACATCAACCAAGTCAGCGAGGATGACCACCCAATCCCGTTAATCGCCTCTTACGGCAAGCATGGGTTGCAGAAGATCTATTCTACCCCGTATCTTCTCGGGGCCGAGGATGTGTAATTGATTTCAAGTTTTGAGATGGTTGTTGAAAGCATCTGATAGGAACTAACATGCCATGTTGTAAGATGCGTGAGGGGCCTCATGGCATACCTTGCAACAACCAGCATGTTTTTGAGCGTGCATGCAACATCACCACAGTGCACATGTACAGGCGCGGAGATTATCTGTACAGAGTTGTGTCCCTCAATTGTGTCAGGATTTGCTGGTTAATTTTCCCATAGTCGCCTTTTACAACCACCATGGGTTGCTGAAGAACTATTCTGACCCGGATCTTCAAGGGGCGTATGTACATGTATGTATATCACATCATCTCTATGTTGTTGGGGTGTACATGTTTTGACTGATAAAGAATATCGTCTTGGTCTTACAGCCTGCTCGGGGACCTAAAAACCTGCCTGTCCGCAATCACCACTACCACCGAGGCCGGATGCACCAGCACCACCCAGGCCAGCCTGCTCGCCAGCACAGTGACAATGTACACGACAGCAAAGTGTAAGTGTTACTTTTAACCATTCTGCCATTACGACCCGTGAAGACCCGGGGTAGAATAGGTCTTCAGCAACCCATGCTTGCTATAAAAGGCGACTGTGCTTGTCGTAAGAGGCGACTAACGGATTCGGGTGGTCAGGCTCGCTGACTTGGTTGATGCATGTCATCGATCCCAAATGCGTGGATCGATGCTCATGATGTCAATCACTGGATAGTCTGGTCCAGACTCGATTATTTACAGACCGCCGTCATATAGCTGGAATATTGCTGAGTGCGGCGTTAAACAACAAACCAACCAACCGATTATGTAATTACATGCCGGCCGCCATTGCATGTTCTCATTACTCTCTGCAACCGCCAATCATTTGATGATCTAAACAAAATTTGGAAATTTTATTTTCAGGTGCCGCAGACCACGTGACCTTTGTGATGACGTCACTGCTGGTGTCGCTGTTTGCCAGCATGTTTCTGTAAAAGCCTCAACCGGTCGTGCATGAAGTCGACAATTGCTCCTCGTTGCTCCTTCTCCTCAGTTGTTCTGACCGCTGCTCTTCAGAATCACTTAAAGGTCTTATGAATGAACATCCTTCACATAAATAATTTCATAGATTGTGTCTACAGTATCCAGAATTTTCTTAGAACTTTCTATGCTATTTCTACTCTATCAATCCTTTAATCGCATGGCAAATCGGGTTGATTTATGCAAACATTGTACACACTTTAACATTAATACATTGCAGTATGTAGTCAGTATACGGTAAACAATTAGAGAATGCAATGTCTGGTTCATGATATGGTCGAAGCTTATGACGTGTCCGGCGATCTGTCGCTTGTCACTGACCGCAGTAACTTGACCACATTAAAATATTCTAATGCATACTACAAGAAACGTTGTAAACTAATACCAACCAATCGATTTAAACTCCAATTCAAAAGTTGCTCAAATAACGCTCAGTAAACTTTAATCACATTTGTTTAATATCTCAATGACTTACTGTATACCTCAATGTAAAAGTAAGAAATTGAAACTAATATATTTATTGTTACCTTTCTTATGTCCCGACAAACTGGAAGGCCTTACACCGTAATACCTATAATATACTGCAATACATTAATTAAGCGATAGTGATAAAAAATACCCTGGACAGTTCACACAATGGAACTAACTATTGTATATTATTTGACAAGAACGTATTAGCTGTATGTTTGATATTGGTCACGTGACAACATCCCCGAGAGAACAAAATTGGCGCAATGCATGACGTTAATACCTCTCATCATTGTATGTCAACATTTTCTAATGAGTCTAACAAATACAAAATACACTGTGACATATTGTGTTACAGTATATAAGAACGCGGATGGTGTTTGAATATTTCAACCCACTTGGTCCGTGCCCTGATGACGTGTTGAGTTACTGATTGTATATATCAGCTGTTCCACTGAAATAAACGGCACTGATCACGAATTTTTGTGTGTTTGTTTTGTTTATAATTCCAACTCTTGGTCACAGTAATATGTGGTGGGAGTAAACAGGTATACATCGAAACCTCGTTTATTAGGTTTGTTTTTTTGTTTGTTGTTTAACACCGCACTTAGCAATATTGCAGCTATAGGACGGCGGTCTGTAAATAATGGAGTCTGGATCAGACAATCTAGTGATTGACAGCATGAGCACCGATCCACGCATTTGGGATGCGATGACATGAATCAACCATGTCAGTGTGCATGACCACCCGATCCCGTTAGTCGCCTCTTAAGCTTGCAACAAGCATAGTGGCCTTTTACATCAAGCCTGGGTCGCTGAAGACCTATTCTAGCCGGATCTTCACTGGTCTCGTTTATAAGTAAGCACTGGGGATAGTCTCATATAATTTGAGTTATCGGTAGTTAGAGTAAAGAAGAATGCTGATGTCAGACCAAGGTTCTGTTGTAGATGTCCATATGAGGACATATAGACCGGCAGCCCAGAGCACTTTGGTCAAACGAACAAGGTACCAATATCCGAACACAGGAACATTTACTGTGTAACCCAACATATTCATATATGGATGTCTGCCGGGGAGCCCCTGCTGCGTGTGGCCCCTGGCCCCCAAAAAGAAGGGGCCATTCAAGGGCTGGATCAAACATTGGAGGTACCACATGAAAGTAAGTGTAAATGAACTGGTACATCTCACAGAGTACAGAATGGGCCACGCCAGACAAATCTTCCTCTGCAAAAGGCCTGCCAGACACCCCAAAATAGGTCCCAAAATTTGGGCTGGGTTAAACATTGGAGGTACCACATGAAATCAACATAAAATGAACTATTTCACTCTACTAAGAAAAAACAAAACATTGCCAGACAAATCGTCTGCTGCATAAGGCCCGCCAGACACCCCCAAATGTTGACCCTTAATGCACTCAGTGGACACTCTGGTAAAATTTGACCAGAGTATACATTCAAAGTACCAGATGAAAGTAAGTTTAGATCAACAGGTACATGTTACTGAGTACAACACGGCCCATACCTGACAAATTGTCCTCTGCATAAGATCCGCCAGACCCCCCAGTGAGGGTCCCAAAATTTGGGCTGGGTAAAACATTGGAGGTACCACACTGCGCCTTCAGATTATAACAATTGCAATACAAACCAGGGGAGTCCAAGAAACAGGTTATCATGACCTGCAAGTATGATCATGTAAATTCTAGTTCAAGTGGGAAATCACGCCATTAAGATAATTACAATGCCATGACAAACCAGGGTGTGTCAAAGGAAGGTTTCTCACGACCTTCATGTATGATCATGTTTATTCAGTTCAAAGTGTTTTATGATTTGATAAATGCTTCAAGTTATATTGTGATTATAACGTCAGTAGCACTATTATTAAGATTTCATATTTGCATTCAGAGGTTGGCAGAAAAGAAAAGGCTAGGTGTGGTTTGGAAACGGCTTTTCTTTTAACAAAAGAATTCACATGTGCTTGAAAACACAGCTCTATGGTAACAATGATATGGGAATTTATACAAAATTCAGTCAATCGTGACAGATCAACAATTGCTTGTTTAGAATTTTGTGTTGTGGAAAACACCCTAAAATGGATCAGGTTAATGCAACCTTTCTTGGCATTTTACCGGGAGGTAAGAAAAGTTTTCCCGGGAAGCTTGATGTCGATTTCTCGAGAGAAGTGACGTGCTCGTCACACACCTCAAAAGAAGTCAAATTTATTGTGTATGGCTTTCCCTTCTTTATTGAGGGTATTCAAAAACAGAAACGCGCCAATATCATGACTCTCTGTCTAGTGTAAGACGTTTATTCAAACAGATAGATGGCAAATCTGAGACATAAGGCCTTGTGAACATTTAGATATATAGTGGAGGTTTCATAACAGATATTTGAGTATTGAAATCAAAACCATGTCACATTATGAACATACATTTACATTTAACAACAAGAACAAAATCATAAAACATGATGGGTAATTACATTTCACATTTGGTGGTGCGATAGTTTTGACGAGGTGAATATCAGTAACGGCCCTTCTCTTTTGAACAGAAAAATATTTTTGTATCCAACCGTGACACTCCGAGAAAAGTTGTATACATCATACACATCAAGAATAGAACATTCATCTTTTCGTGTCACCAAACCCTGTTCATCTCTTTCCGTGACCTGACAAACTTGATATTTTCACACAGGTCTGTGCAACGATTTTGTTAGGTTTCTCGATACGATAAACTTTTCGGGACCGACCATAAATATGGAAATATCTGGCTGGAATTCAGCTTTTTAGATGATAAAACTTTCTAAATAAACGGAGATCATAGGTTTTTAAACACAATTATCACCAAAAGATTTCCAAATGGTATTAGGGACTGTCATTTACCATTCTTATAGCAGGCTTTGAGGACTACCTAAGCATGTTTGGGTTTGTAGGAATCCATAGCCAAGCTATCAGGCTATAGCAGGCTTTGAGGACTTCATAGCTGATCAGATATATATTCACAAGAATCAGATTCATGCCTTTTTTTTATTTCAACGATAGGCCAAATCTATGATATCAATACTAGTATTCAGAGACCTGATTTTATAAATACGTGATTTTAATCTCAATAAAATCCTTCCATCTTTAAGAACAAAACATAAATTTGACCATCTGTTGACTCTCAGAGCTGATGTCCAATGTTTCATTATGCACACTGGGATTACAGAGGGTCAACTGTGTGGGGTGGGGTGAGGGTGTGTCTGGCGGGCCTTATGCAGAAGAGGATTTGTCTGGCAATGGGTATTTTGTAATAAGTAGAGTGTAATAGTTCATTTTATGTTGGTTCCATGTGATACCTCCAATGTTTAAGCCTTATGCAGAGGAAGAATTATCTGTTGTGGCCCATTCTGTACGCTGTGATATGAACCTGTTCATTCAAACGTACCTTAATGTGGTACAATCGATATATATTCCAGACCAATTTTACCCGTGTATACCTGAAGGGTCAACTTTTTGTGGGTGTCTCGCGGGCCTTATGCAGAAGATGATTTGTCTGGCAATGGGTATTGTGCAATAAGTAGAGTGCAATTGTTCATTTAATGTTGGTTTCATGTGGTACCTCCAATGTTTAACCCAGCCCAAATTTTGGGACCCTCACTGGGGGGTCTGGCGGACCTTATGCAGAGGAAAATTTGTCAGGTATGGGCCGTGTTGTACTCAGTAACATGTACCTGTTGATCTAAACTTACTTTCATCTGGTACTTTGAATGTATACTCTGGTCAAATTTTACCAGAGTGTCCACTGAGTGCATTAAGGGTCAACATTTGGGGGTGTCTGGCGGGCCTTATGCAGCAGACGATTTGTCTGGCAATGGTTTTTTTTTTCTTAGTAGAGTGAAATAGTTCATTTTATGTTGATTTCATGTGGTACCTCCAATGTTTAACCCAGCCCAAAATTTGGGACCCTCTATGGGGGGTCTGGCAGACCTTATGCAGAGGACAGTTTGTCAGGTATGGGCCGTGTTGTACTCAGTAACATGTACCTGTTGATCTAAACTTACTTTCATCTGGTACTTTGAATGTATACTCTGGTCAAATTTTACCAGAGTGTCCACTGAGTGCATTAAGGGTCAACATTTGGGGGTGTCTGGCGGGCCTTATGCAGCAGACGATTTGTCTGGCAATGGGGTTTTTATTTTTAGTAGAGTGAAATAGTTCATTTTATGTTGATTTTATGTGGTACCTCCAATGTTTAACCCAGCCCAAATTTTGGGACCCTCTTTTGGGGTGTCTGGCAGGCCTTTTGCAGAGGAAGATTTGTCTGGCGTGGCCCATTCTGTACTCTGTGAGATGTACCAGTTCATTTACACTTACTTTCATGAGGTACCTCCAATGTTTGATCCAGCCCTTGAATAGCCCCTTCTTTTGGGGGGCCAGGGGCCACACGCAGCAGGGGCTCCCCGGCAGACATCCATATATGAATATGTTGGGTTACACAGTAAATGTTCCTGTGTTCGGATATTGGTACCTTGTTCGTTTGACCAAGTGCTCTGGGCTGCCGCTCTAATAGTCTGTCTTACAGACCCTGATACAAATAAACATGTATATCAAATATAGCCCATGCAAGTCTATAATGTTTGGTAAGTCTAGATCACTGCAGTATCACTGAAAATGAAGAGAGTCACTGGGCTCCTTTTTATTATATTTTTATTAAGATAACTGAACAACTGGTTTTTCTGTACGATATGTTCATTTCAGAGACTAGATGTTAGTCTAATCAGGACCTGAAGTAAAAAGTGTCTTGAACGATACCGAGTGAATTAAGCTCGAACTAAGGGTTAACCACTGTATGTCATATGCACGGAATAGTGATGTGTGATGAGGTGAGGTGAAGTGAAAGGGGGTTTAACGTCGCGTCCAAAATTATTGCACTTATATAGCGACGTGCATGCACCTGTGTGTGTGTGTGGCTGCTTGTACTAGTCCGGATTAATGCCGATTTATAGTGCTCGCCCCCTGAGATACCATCCCGCAGTTTAACATGAATACGTACTCAGACACCGTATACTGACGCCGAGCCGACCAGTCCTTGCGTCATCTGGGGGCACGGGTGGCCCAGTCGTCTAAGGCGCAGCGATTCGCTGTGCAGAGTTGCGTCCCTTAAAGGGCAAGTTCACATGGAAATGAACCTATTTTTCTTGTACTTTTTCCACATTAAAAGTGTTAACCTAGAAGTGTCATAGACAAAAATATAAAAATATCACAATTAATTAACATGTTTTTCCCATTAAAACGATTTATATTTTTCACATTTACCAAGTGTTCTATTTCCACAACAAAAACACCATGGCTTATGCCCCTTGCAATATGACGTCATTGGTGCCAATTGATAAACATTATGACGTCATTGTGCTTTGTTAGAGCCGCTTCACGTGGTGTAGGTCCAGGTGTGTGATTCTAGCGTCTCAGATGCCAGCCAGCATAGTGTTATGCTGAGTCACCA